ACTGAGATCCTGGGGCTTAAGGCAGTGCAGAGTGGTTCCGTCTCGATGCTTCGTGATCTGTCAGATAAATTCAACGCTCATATTCGTGCTCTAAAGGGATTGGGCACGACGGAACAAATCGCAGGATGCATCATCGTCCAAATACTGCTTCAAAAGCTAGATCCTGCGAGCCAGGCAAAGTGGGAGGAGCGATTAGAGGATCCAGCATTCGTCAATCTAATTCCGACGTGGGAATCCATGGCATCATTTTTGGAGCAGCGATGCAGAACATTGGAGACTATGGATTTCGCCATGGCAAGCTATGCGTCTGGCAATCAGGTGGGAAACAACGGAACGTCTAATTCTCGTAGATCCGCTTTTGTTGCCACAGATATTAACCCTTGGATTTGTTCGTTCTGCAATGCTTCTGGTCACTCCATTCATTACTGCCAAGATTTTAATGCCCTGCCCCCTGCAAATCGGCTTCAAGAAATAAAGAGGCTCTCTCTTTGCATAAACTGCCTTAAGATAGGGCATCAATTGAGGCAGTGCAATTCCAGCAATTGTCGTGCATGCGGAGCTAAACACCACACCCTCCTTCACTTGGGAAATTTAGCCTCAGCTTCTCCACAGGCAGGATCACAGCTTCCAGAAGCTCTTGCCGCTGTCTCACTCAATGCTGTCGTAGAACCATCTGCCGTACCTTCCACATCCACTGCTCTTATTGCTCAGGATTTCAGTACTGACATTGTGCTCCTAGCCACTGCCACCGTTCTCGTAAAAAATCGGTCTGGAGTTTTCGTTCCATGTCGAGTCCTTCTTGATTCGGGCTCTCAACTGCATCTAATAACATCACGCTTTGCAGATCAGCTTCAAACAAAGAAGATAAAGTCCTCGGCATCTGTTACTGGAATCGATGATTCGAGCTTTGTTACAAATGGTCACTCAGTTAATATTGCGATGCAGTCCCGAACGTCTGATTACACGGTGAACCTAACCGCAGTTATTGCCCCCAATATAACTGAGCTACAGCCTAGTTTTAATGTGGACACCACCAGCTGGAAAATACCGCAAAACATTAAATTAGCTGACCCTAGATTTTATATCCCTCAGCGTGTGGATCTTTTGATTGGAGCCAGTTTGTTTTACGAGCTGTTGTGCGTTGGACAAATTAAGCTCGCACCTGGATTACCGCTTATTCAAAAGACTCGACTGGGATGGGTTGTTTCCGGAGGATATGGCGTCTCCAATGGCTCTTCATTAATCTCGCCCCTTGCTGTACCTCTCGTTAGTAAGGAGAATAGCTTAGATCGCCTTGATGATCGTCGAAAGGTCCTGCTAATAAAATCGCCAAGCTCGTCGCTGGACTTCAATGGCCGCCATCCAGTCATATTGCCACGGAGCCATCCTGTCACTTCCGCCATCATTACTCACTTTCATGAGCGTAGTCAGCACACAGAACCTCGGGCCCTATTCTGCATAACTCGATCACAGTATTGGCCTATTGGGGGGAGGAAGACGGAACGATTGGATGAATGGCAACGTGTGGCCTACTTGCAGCAAGTCCTCTGGACCCGATGGAAGAAGGAATATCTGACGCTACTGCAGCAGCGCTCCAAATGGCGCACCCCGAAGCCTGGCATGGTTGTCGGTGACGTGGTGCTGGTCAAGGACGAGAAATTACCTCCGAAGAAGTGGCCCCTAGCGAGAGTCATTGAGCTTCTGTGTGGTGCAGATGAGTTGCTCGAGTTGCAGTTCTCAAGACAACATCAGGAGTGACGAAATGAGCAGTAAATAAGCTGTGTCTGCTGCCCCTTAAAGATGCTGTTGAAAGCCAAGCTTCCAACGGGGGGAGTATGTCGGGTCATCCAGCCGCAGCAGATATTTAGATTCTCTTAATGCTAGCTCTTAGCTGATCTGCATAATTACCATCGCTCTCTCTCTCACTTTATCTTTCTATTCGCTCTCTCTCGTTACTTGTTGTTTTATACTTTGGGTCAGCAATCGGCTGATCCGCGTCTTAATTCAATTCTAACTCTTCTTTTCGATCTCGCGGACCATTTTTGTTAATCGCTTCTGCTAGATAAATTCGCTGCCTTTGCAGAAATCGAACTCTAAGTTTTCGTCTTTTTAATTCAACAGCTAATAAAAAAGCTTATTAGCTCAACATGGGGGGAAGGAGACGTTGCTATTTCCACTACCCACTAACTTTTCTCCCCTTTCCTTCAGTTTCTAATCCGTTGTGTACCTCTAAATTACTTTCAATATTTTCATTCATCTATTAATTAATTTATTTTTTCTTTTTAGGATCCGTCTGCAATTTTCAACGGACAACGATGTTACGACTGGATACTATCGTGCATGGACCACATTAAATTTTTGCATAACACGGACAGCCAAATTAGGTAAGTGAACTTTTTACTTTACAAAAATAACAACATTAAAAGACAAACATTTACTTTCAGATTTCGCCTCAACTCAGTCTGGCTGCGCATGTGCCGCTCTTTACTCGGCCAATGGGTCCACTACTGATTGGCGATTTCAGGATTTTACCACTGCGGCTTCGAGGATCTTAACCCGTATGGTTTGCCCTCGGTCCAAGCAGCTGATTTTAGTTCCGGCTTCCGGTTTTCTTAGCTTCCGGTACGTATCTGAATTTTTTTGCATTTCTCACTCTTAACGATTTCAATAATTTAATTTAATTTTTCCTTTTCTTTCAGTCCTTATTTGCAACTGCTGGGCATCAATGCTACTCTTTATAAACAGTGTACATGGACCACACCAATTCCAGTCAAAGACAACAGATTTAGATAAGTTATTAAAAATTTACTTTACTTTAAACAACATATTAAAAAGATAATTGATTATTTTTTTCCAGACACTGTGTACCTTCTAGCCTGGCTTCGCATGTACCGTGTTTACTCGGTCATGGGTCCACTTCTGGTCGGTCTTTCTTTCTCATCAAGGACTGTGCTCAGCAAAAAAGGACTTCCCGGAATTTTCCCCACTGTGGCTACGATGGGTCTGACCTTCTTAGCCTGCCCACGGTCCAAACAGTTGGTTTCCGAGGTCTTTGTCTATTGGCACTTTACCCTGGTGAGTGTTTACTTTTTATTTTTACTGATTCCATTTCATTAATTTTCTTTTATATTTTTAGATTGGGCGCCATTTGTCATGTCCTGCTTTTTGCGCGGTGGCGTTGCCGACTAGTCAGCGTGATCCCAGGAGGGGAACAACAACAAATATTCCCCGCAGCAGACACAACAAAAAATAAAACGGAATTTCAAACTTGGACAACAAATTTATACACAACGGAATTTTTACACTTGGACTGGACTTCCCGGCTGGAGTTGTAGTCCAGGGAGTCCCTCCCAACCATTCAGTGCATCCCAGGATATGCCTCGGATACATCTCCCAATTTTGTTTGGTGTATTGGGCTCGCCTACTTTATCTCATCCCCCAACAGGAATATCTACTCAGACGAATTCATTTTTTTCAACTGGTTATAATTGCAAAAATCTTTTCTCTTAATTTCTAACATTTAATTATCCTACCAACGGTACCGATGGACTCATTACATGGAGCACATACATATATATATACATAATAAATAAATAGTAATAATTAAATAAATAAATATGGCGAGTATCACATGAGGTTAAATGTTGATTAAATTAATATTGTATATAAATAAATAAATAATTAATTAAATAATTGAATAAATAGGTGACTTTAAATTACTTCATTTTTTTAACTTTCTGGGAGTAGTAAATTTTTAATTTAATTCAATTAATTTTTGATTCGTGGTTGGGTTTTTTTTATTACTTAAATCTAATTTATTTTACTAACTAAAGAGATAAATAAATAAAAAACCTGGGGCCACCCAGAGCGAGTGGCCGATTTTTCACTACGAAAATTTCGCCCTCGTTCGTGTGGTGGCTCTGTTCCAAGTCGTCTGGAATCCAGTTCTCCAGTTAAGTTTCTATTTTTTGAATTTCTTTAAACAAACAAAAAAATTTGGTTTTTTCACTATCCTCTCCTTATTTTTATAATTTTTTTTTTTTTATAACTCTCTTATAAATCAATTATATAATTTTTTTTCTTCACTTTCGATTTAACCTCCTTTATACTTTTCGGATCCTCTCTTCACTCTATGCCAAAAACCACTCAAAATTTTTATACCTCGACTTCGTTTCATTTGGAAGTTAGTACATTCGGGGAACCAGTTCCTGGGGCTTAGTCATTTTAAACACTACCTTTACTCACGTGCAATCGATAACTTGCAGTCGGCGTGCAGTTGGTAAACATCTATTGTTTACATTTTCTTTTTTTTTTTTTTAATTTTCTTGTTCGCCGCACATAAAAAAATTCAATAGAAGTTAGACAACGCATTCTTGAAAAAATCAAGTCAAAATGATCAGAAACAACGGCGTGAAAATTTTTTATTTCATTCTCTCGTATGAGACGAAGTTTTATGAAAATAGCTTTAGAACTGAGAGATTAGTTTACATAGAAACAGTCAGACGGATGATAGACCGTCAGACGTATTATTTACTTTATGAGGTCTGAGGTGACTCCTTCTCCTTCTCCTCTGCAAAGGTATAAAAATAATAAAAATAAGAACGCACATCTTAGCACTAAAGGACTAGTTTACACACAAACCCACAGACGGACAGACGTATTTCGATTCGGATCGTGATGCTGATCAAGAATATATATACCTTATGGGGTCTGAGGTGTTTCCTTAACTGTGTTGCAAACTTCTGATTGAAATTATAATACCATCTGCTCTGTAAGGGTATAAAAATACCAAAACTTTCAATGAAAACATTTGTTTACGCCTGAAAATACTAGAAATGGACTAGGCAAGAAATGTAAAAGGCGGTTGTTCCATATTCCTCCGATCCATTGATCACGAACACTTATGTGTCGCGCATGATAAAAGTGTTTCATGAATAAGGAGTGTGGAAGGTATTGTGTGAGAATATGATATTTTCGCTTATTTAATTTTCGATACGTTTAAGGCTTGATGCGGTCACTTGGCATTTGCTTAGTAGACGCATATCTCAAGTAATCAACAAAGATTTTCAAAATATACAGTGTTTAAATGGCCGACGATCTTCAGAATTACAAATTGCAATTGCAGCAGGTGAGTTAAAGTAGGCAGCTTTGTGTTCATTAAAATTGTCATTAACGTACATATATTTAGATTATTAACATAATATAAACTATATTGTTGTTTGTACAATGTACATATGTACATACTTTCGTACATACAGACCTATTCGGTACTAAAGAAAGCATTCAGAAAAAAAATATAACTAATCTAGCCTTTGGCTCATCGCTCATCGATCTCCTTTATTTTTTTTTAAATGCCTTTGCTTATGGGAGAGCGATTTTGCCTACATATGTTTGTACATACAGTGGCTCGCAGCTTATTTCAACCAGCACCTCAAAAAAAACTTTAAAGCCATATACATACAGTGGCTCTCAGCTTATTTCGCCCAATATTACCTGCATTTTCTTCAGTACTAACTGCATCACGTAAATGGATGTACTCCTTAGAACGCAGTTTGGATTGGTTCAACCTAAAAAATGTTTCTATTTTTACATACAGTGGCTCTCAGCTTATTTCGTGCAGTAACCTAAAAAAAGTTCAAGTCCTTATTTCTGCTAAACTAAGAAAGATAACAGAAAATTTTAAATGCAGTATTTTAATATGGAATATTAACTTATTTATTGAATAAAAGCGATTTTCAAAATCATAAAAACAAAAAAATTAGTTAATAAAAACAAAATGAACAGCCTTTTTTCATGTTGCAGCTTATTTCGTGCAGCAGATTCTACTTAACTTATTATTAGTAATTTAACAGATACTGTTTTGTATGTCCATCTTTCTGGTTCAGGACATCTTTGAGATGATTTCCCATGGAGCAAAATAACTTTTTAGTGGTTTTCACTGGAATTCTTTGCCATTCTTCCATAAGAACAGTTTTCAGGTCGTTTTTGTTCGAAATCTTCCTCTTCCTTCTAACGATGTCCAATATTTCCCAAAAATTTTCGATCTCATTTAAATCTGGAGACTGTGCTGGCGTTATAACGACATGTGGGTAGTTCCAGGTAACCCAAGACTTCACAATTCCTGCTGAATGCTTCGGATCGTTGTCCTGGTAAATTCGAAAACGACCGCGTATGCCCAGTTTTTTTTTTTATCAGTTTGCAGTAGGTTATCCTCTAAATTGTTGAGGTACATTGTGGCATGCTTGATGCCATCCATGAAAATGAGTTTGCCCATGCCATGTTTTACCGTAGGTTTCAAGTGCTTATTTTCAAACTCTGTATTTGATCACAGTTCGTAGCCCAATTCGAACAATTTAGTCGTGGCGATTCTGCCCTCGCCACGACTAAATTGTGTGTGTGAGCCGTTGTCATGATGGAAGAGCCCTTTTTTCTTTGCCAAATGGGGCCGTATTTTTGCAAATCCTTGTGAATCCCAAAAAACGGTGGCCATCACCTTTCCGGTCGATGGGACAGTCTTCGCCTTCTTCGTTCCACGACAAAGTGAAGTCAACGTTGAAACTCGTTGAACCAATTTTTGACGGTCGCCATTAAAGAAGAGTCACCGTACACAGCATTCATGGGCTCTTTGTTTTCGCTGCGCGATTTGCCTTCCAAAAACAAGAATCGAATCACAGACTGATATTGCTCTTGCTCCATTTCACACGCAGTCAAAAAAAAACTAGGAGTCCGATTCGGCTGAAATTTCGACATTGGCCGTCTACGAGAATGTACTACACGATAGTAAATTTCTCTTGCGATAGTGCCGCCATCGGGCGGTGAGGCTAAGTACTTATTGGACTGCCCTCGTAGAAGCAGTGTGGACAATTCTGGCATTCCCTATACTTGATGTAGTAACCCGTAAGTCCCCCTTAATAAGGACAGATTGTTTTCACTTTTAAATGCCAATTTAATTTGCTTCTTTAATTGATAACTGCGTTGCATCCACGCTGCACGCTCGGTCAATTACAACTAACTCTCATTCTTCTCCGTCACTCCGCTCGCGCCCTCCTTGACAGTATCGCCGCTCTCCTGCATGACATCGCCGCTCATTGCCGGCTCCCACATCCCTCCTTTGTTGACAAGTTTTAGCTTCAAAGGTTGGGCAGGCAAGGGAGCAAATCCTGTTGGGGACTGTCTGAGCCGTTGACCTTTTCCTTCTTCGACTCCTTGGTGATCCTGAGTAGACGTCATCTTCGGTTGAGAGCTGCTTAACGATGAGTTTAAAGATGTATTCCAGGTGGCTTGCGTTTATTGGTATTTTCCTAACGTGCGATACATTTCTTGTGAGAGTCCTACCCTCTGCCCTAACTTTTACAATGTTTTTGTCTTTCTCAACAACCTCGAACTCGGTATCCTTAAAATTCGGAGTCAATTTACTGGGAAAAACTACATTTTTCAAGAGTACTTTATCCCCTACGTTTATCACGGTTTCCCTTGCTCCCCTCTTTTTATCTGCCTCTTCCTTTCCTTTTTGTTTTAACATACAATGTTTTGGATAACCTAATCTACAGAATATTTCCTTCATTACTTCAATTAAGCTTGCTGTCGAAATTGACCGTAAGAAATTGTACTCCATATAGCGGGAGTAATAGTCAATGAATACTACAACAAACTCATTGCTTGGTAGGGGCCCCAATATGTCCGATGCTACCCAAATCCATGGACCTGTTGGAAATGGGTTCCTATCCATTGGTGCTGGCTTAGGGCATTGGGAGACCAGAAGACAATCTCTGCAGTGTTTGACATAGTTCTCTGCATCACGATCAATTAGAGGCCACCATACCTTAGATCGCAGACGCCTTTTCCTAGCTGATGCTTCAGGGTGTCCTTCGTGAGCCAGCTCAAGTACTTGGTTCCGAAGTGATTGAGGAATAACAATTCGGTTACCTCGCAAAACAGGGGGGTCCTATTGTCGATAACTCATATCGAAATGGGTACAGCAGTTTTAGGGATCCTAGTTTCCATGAGTCGCACTCCAGACAGGCCTTCGCATCGATAATTTCTTCGTCCTTTACCAAATGCTCCGCAATTTCCGAGATAGTCATCGAATGGGGAATGCTGTTCTCGATCACCCGTAATATGCTACAATCCATTTCTTTTCCACCAGAGTCGGATGATGATAACTGGCAAAGTCGGGATAGAGCGTCTGAGATGTTCTCTTTTCCCGCTTTGTAGACGACTTTAAAATTAATGACTGTAGCCGTAGTAACCATCTCTCTATGCGCGCAGGAGGTCTCGATGTAGGTTTGAAAATGGCCTCCAATGGTTTGTGATCTGTCACTAGCTCGAAATGAAGTCCTGCTAGATAAAAGTAGAATTTTTTAACAGCCCAAACTAGAGCCAGACTTTCTTTTTCAGTTTGAGAATAACGTTTCTCAACGTCCGACAAAGCTCTACTAGCGAATGAAATAATTAAGGGGTCAGCACTTACAGAGAACTGCAACAGTACCGCTCCCAGTGCTACTGGACTGGCATCTGCTATTAGGCGAGTTCGATTTAGCGGGTTGAAGAATGCGAGGTTTGGCACTTTTTCCAGTCGATCCTTTAAGTTCCGAAAAGCATCTCTTTCTGTTTCGCCCCAGCTGAACTTCGAGTCCTTCCTCAGTAATTTTCTAAGCGGTTCCGTGTAATCTGCCAGGTCTGGAATAAATTTTCCGACGTATGTCACCAAACCTAGAAAACTCCGAGTCTCTTCCTTGTTAAGTGGGTCTCGAAACATTCTAATTACATTAATTTTATCCGGATCCACTTCGATGCCCTTGTCCGAAATAATATGACCAAGAAACTTGAGTCTGTTTGTTTTCCAGATGCACTTTTGATCATTAAGTAAAACGCCGCTTTCTTTAAATACGTTACAAACCTCTCTTAGAGCCTTGTCATGTTCTTCTTCGCTAGCCCCAAAAAATTATTACGTCGTCAATATAATTCATGACGCTAGTAAAGGGTGCCAATAGCTGCTCGAGGTGACGTTGGAATATTTCTGGAGCAGAGTTAATTCCAAACATCAGCCGTTTGTACCGAAAGTGTCCTTTTGGTGTTATGAACGTCGTAATTTCTCTGCTGGCCTCATCAAGTTCTAGCTGATGATAAGCGTCTTTTAGGTCTAAGCGTGAAAAGTACATTGCATCCTTTAGTTTGGGCATAAAAGACTCAAAAGTCGGTAGTGGATAATTTTCTCGACGATTTTCTGGCCTTATTTGCACGCCGCATATCAATGCACAGCCGAACATCGCCGTTTTCCTTAAAGGCCAGGACAATGGGGGAGATCCACGAGCTCGGACCTGTAACTGGTTCGATGATGTCCCGACTCAAACTTTCTTCCAGCTTAGCGGCAACTTTTCCCTCGAGTGCCACAGGGATTCTTCGAACCGGCTGCTGGACTGGAATGACTTGGGGGGGTCAATCCATAGTTTTATTTTAACCCCTTTCCATTTAGGAAATTGTGTGATCATTTCAACTCGATTGACATCTAGACCTAGACGAAGAACGTTCAGCTTAATGGCTCGACCCAGTAAGGACTGCCGTCCATTTTTAATTACGAAAAATGTTGCAATCACCTCGACATTCGGCACAGCTGATATCGGTGCTTCAAAAACGTAAATTACTTCAAGTAATTGTTCAGAAGCATATCCTCGGAATTGTTTTTGTGAATGCGATCTAACGTTGAAGACTGCTGTAGGTTCTTTGTTAATCCTTGTCCAATTTGGTTGACTAATAAGGTTAAATTTCGATCCAGAGTCAATAATAAGAGCAATATCGTGGCCCCCTATTTGGCAGTTTATAAGTTCTTCTTCTTTGTCGCTGCAGATCTTAAAACAATTCGCACATTCCTTCTTCCGTTTAGGATCAGCGCTCTCATCTTCCACACATCGAATATCATTTCTGGATCGCTTCTTATTTTCGTGTTTCGGCTGAGAGTATTGTGTTGTTCTGCATTGTCGTGCAAAGTGACCTATCTTGGAACATTTATTACATTTAGCTGCACGGGCCGGACAAGAGAAATCGCTATTTGCATGACCCATCCGACCACATCTCGAACACTCCAGATTCTGCTTTGTTTTCCGAGCTGTAATTTTATTGATTGACTCGCTAGTGGTAGGTTTCGTCAGCATGGCTTCAGATTGTTTATTTATTTGTTCCTCGACCTGGCAAGCTTCAATAATTTCGTCCAAGGAGTATTCCTTACTCAAAAGTTTCTTCTTTAGCTCTAGCGGCGTCCACGAATCAATTATTTTGTCTTTAAGGCAGATTTCCTCGATTTAGGCTTTAGATTGGCCGAAAGAACATTTATACATTTGTTGTCTTAGTCGTAAAATAAACTTCGAGAAATTCTCTGACTCAAGTGGTGATATACTTCGAAATAGATGCCTTTCAAACGTTGAATTTTTTTTCGATGAAAAGTAGGCATTAAGTTTCTCGACCAAAACAGTGAAGACGTCGATCTCCCGGTCCTTGTCATCCTCTACCAGTGCACCCGGTAACGAGAACGCGACAGCTTGCAATTGTACCCCACCTATGTGAAGGAGTTTGGTTCTCTTCATTTTGGGTGACTCGATCTGTTCAGCCTCCATCGAGATGGTGAACACTCTAAACCATTTCTCCCATTCATTTCGGAGAACCGACTTCTCAATGGCCTCACATAGAAAAGGTTTTAAGTAATTTTCTGCCATCCTGAGGTCGTGCGATTGCGTTTGCTAAATTTTAAAAAACGAAACAAAATTTTGTTTTAGATTTAGAAGTCTGGGCTTGTTTTACACGCAGCCTCTCTTTCTTTTTTTTTTTTTTTAATTACAACGTCAATTTCGTATCTCGCTTACGCAAGACCAAACTCTTCCGCACAGCCTTTACTAATTTTTCTCCTGGGCTTGTTTACACGCAGCCTCTTTCGACTTGTATTTATACGCAGTCGATTAATTATATAGCTTACGGAAGACAAAACTCTTCCGCACAGCCTTTTCTATGCACGTTTCTATCTGCGTACATAATTACACATGCATATGCGGCTTGCAAAAATTTAACTCTTTCACTCAGCCCTTTTTTTTCAGAGTAAATTCTCTTAAGTCGTCTGGCTTGTTTAAAACTCAGCCTCTCTTTGTTGTTTTCTTTCTTTTAAACCATGTTTCGTAATTTGGTTTGCATTGAAAACTTTGCAAGTATAACAATATTAATCTCATTTATGTTATACTTTATGTTTCTTCTTTCAGTTTTTTTTTTTTTTAAATGGCAATGCCATATACAGTTTTTCGTTTTACATATTTAAGTGAGACTAATTATTGCTATTTCTTGCATATATTTCTTTTAAAAGAGTTTTACCTCGTCGCCAATGTAGTAACCCGTAAGTCCCCCTTAATAAGGACAGATTGTTTTCACTTTTAAATGCCAATTTAATTTGCTTCTTTAATTGATAACTGCGTTGCATCCACGCTGCACGCTCGGTCAATTACAACTAACTCTCATTCTTCTCCGTCACTCCGCTCGCGCCCTCCTTGACAGTATCGCCGCTCTCCTGCATGACATCGCCGCTCATTGCCGGCTCCCACACTTGATATATTTTGATCCCGATAATCCAACTCAGTTACTTAACCAATTAAATAATCAATTGAAGACAGTACAGACAGGCTTTGTAAAAGGGACCCTTCTATATGTTGCTGAGAAAATAATAAATTGTCAAAGGGCTAACTTTTACACATATACAATTTTATCAGCTTGATTATTAAGTTATAATAACTTCGGGATCGTATGCCTTCATCGCGTCATTTGTAAAATTTCTGTGTACCGCGCTTACCGTTTGGGACCTGCTTATACTTGATCACTGTCATTACGCCCACCTACAACTTCTATCATCCCACCACCTTTTATTGTGAGTGTGCTAATCATCTCTTTTCGTCTGTCAACCTTGTGCGGAAACAGTTAAAATATACGACATAACTGCATAAGAACTTTACAGAACCTCTCTTATAGACTTAAGTTCTAACTATAATATACATACATATATATATATATATATATATATATATATGTCGGAAATACTATTATGTCTTCCATTTTTCACACACTTTATCTACTCATACGCCAGCACAGCGAGTTCCGCTGTGACCGCCTGCCACCGTCTCTGCTGCTATGCCTTTAGCATGAATTCTGAATTTCCTCGAATCTCTTTCCGACGTATATATATACGATTCGGCTTGCAAAACCTAGCTTTGCGTTTCTGAAATTTGTAACATAGTAATATTTGTATCTATTAAAGTTTTTATACAATTGGCTTTAATTTTGATTAAATAAAAAATATTTGTTTATATTTTTAGGTTGAAGCAGCTCTGCAAACTGATCCCAAAAATGGAGAGCTTTTAAAACTAAAAAGTGATCTTGGTGAAGTAATAACCCTTACTCGTGATTTGATACAAACTCAACTAGAAGAACAGAATAAATCTTCTTACGTAGAGCCCTCTTCAACTAAAACAGAGTCATCTAACTATTTTGACGAAATTGAAGCGGCTCTCTTAGAAGCAGAAAAATTAGTATCAGCTGCTAAAATTTGGAAGATTGGAGACAAGTGTCAAGCTAAATGGAAGGAGGATCGGCAATACTATGACGCTACTATTGAAGGCATATCAAGCAAAGGAGAAGTAAATGTAATATTTGATGCTTATCAAAATCGTTCTACGACACATGTCAATGAGCTACGAGAACGCACTACCCGCAACGAAGTTTTTCCTTCAAACAAGTATTTAATTTATAAAGCCAACTATGAAACATTTTATAAAATATCTATTTTTACAGGCGTCACCGGCCCAACCAAAAAGAGTATTTAAAAAAACGTAAACAAAAAAAGCAACAACGATTTAAGGATTTGGAAGAGGAACGTGAAACAGATAAAAATAAATGGCTTAACTTTACCACAAAAAATCAAAAAAAAACTGGAATTAAAGCAAGAAGTATCTTTGCATCTCCGGATAATGTGTGCGGTAGAGTAGGAGTCGGTACGTGTGGAACAGCTGGAAAAGGAATGACTGATTTTACTATAGGTGAAAAATATAGAAAGGGGCTTTAAACTGTTAAAATCGTTTTGTGCGCGCTACAATATAAAACAATATTTAATTATAACATTTAACAAAAATATTAAAAATACAAAGTAAACGAATTTATACCAGTCTTGAGCCTAATCAATAGTTTCTTGTTTTATGTATACAATGAAATTTGTATTATAAAATATGAGGGATATTTGGACATTTTTTACGGCAACGGATTTTTTCATTGCATTTTCACGAAAATCGGACCATGCAATAAAAAACTAATTTTTCTCACAGTAGTGAACAGTGTGGCTAGTTAATTTGCGTTTGTAGATCGTTTTTCTTGTAGCCGCTGCGGCAGCTCTTCTCGATGTTGTCGCTGTCTGTTTTTGTTGTACTTTATTAGTACAAAGCAGCGTTTGAAAAACTGCCGTAAGTGTCATTATTCTTGATCAGCATCACGACTAGAATCGGAATACGTCTGTACGTCTGTCCGTCTGGCCGTCTGTCTGTTTCTCTTCAAACTAGTCTCTCAGTTTTAAAGCTATCTTGCTGAAACTTTCCCAAAAGATGTGTAGTTAGTGCACGCAGTATATAAGTCGGAACGGGCCGGATCGGCCGACTATATCGGATAGCTCCCACACGAGAGAATGAAATAAAAAATGTTCACTCTTCTTTTTGATCAGATCGACTTGATTTCTTCAAGATGGCGTTTTCTAACTGTTATTGAATTTCGGATTTAATTTGATCAAAATCGGATAACTCTATCATATAACTGCCATAGGAGAGATCGAAAAATATATATAGAATTAATGGAAATAAATTGATAACATCGTTGTTTTTTATCCCACGAGCTTGATTTTTTGAATATAAAGTTTTTAACAACTCTTATATTGAGAAAAAAGTTTCATAAAAATCGGACAACTATATCTTATAGCTGCCATAGGAAAGACCGAAAAATCTATATAGAAATAACGGAAATAATATTATAACATCGTTGTAAGGCTCCCAAGGACGGTGGCCCAGCAGGTTGAACGCTGGTCGGACCGGAGACCCGGAAGGCCCGGGTTCAATCCCAGGCTCCCCGAGAAAAAAGAAACGGTCTTTTTTTCCAATTCTCCACCATTTCTATGCTCTATCGCTCACATAACATTAGTAACAAATAACCCCCTCGTACACGTTACTATGGACCCAACAATAGAACCCCTGATGCACATGCGCATAGAGCTCATTAGTGTTCGTCTGAACATTCTGCCAAGGGCCGGCAAGATTGTGGGTATAGAATTTATTTGTTCCTTGTTGCAATACAAAAATTAGTGGACAGTATTTATTCGATATTATTTTGTAGCAACTACACGACTTGCAAAGACCCTTTTTAATGAAACAAAGATTCTTTTTTAAACGCTAAGTATGCTACTTGGTATGGCTATGGCTTGCAATTGCCTTTGTATTTTTATTTTCCGTATAAAATATATAGCTAATATTATTATTAGGTTGTTTGGTAATGACATACCGGTTTCTTTATTGATTTTTGACGATGATTTTAACATAGTTAGCATTGTCCGACTTAAGTGCTATATGTACCGTTGTCTTCGATGATTTTCTGCCATTTTGATGGTAACTTGTATATGCCTCTCCTAAAGAAGTCCTTGGCCCTACTGGCAAAAAACTCGGCGATTCAATTTTCACAATCCTTCCTTGAACTCAATTTTTGTCCATCGAAAAAATTGTGCATGGCCAAAAACAGATGGTAATCGCTGGGGCAATGTCCGGACTTATAAGGTGGATGCATTAACACTTCACAACCAAGCTCCCGTAGCTTGTGACGCGTCACCAAAGATGTATGGGGCGTGGCGTTGTCATGATGCAACGCAACGCCCTTACGATTCACCATGGCTGGCCGCTTCTGTTCAAGTGCAATCCTCAATTGCTCCAGTTGATCACAGTAGAGGTCAGAATTGATGGTTTGGCCATAGGGCAAAATTTCATAATGGATAATTCCTCTGATATCCCACCATACACTCAGCAACACCTTCTGAGCCGTCAGTCCTGGCTTTGCCACCGTTTGAGACGACTCACCGTGCTTCGACCAGGATCTTTTGCGCTTTATGTTGTCATATGTAATCCATTTTTCATCACCAGTAACTAACCGATCCAGAAATAAGTCGAGTTTATTACGGTTCAACAAAGATTCGCAGATTGATACACGGCCGAAAAGGTTTTTTTGGGATAACTCATAAGGCACCCATACTTCGAGCTTTTTTGTTAAATTTTTCGACTTTAAATGCCTATGGACGGTTCTAATAGTCACATGACGATCTCGATCCACTATTTCCATGATTTTATCCGTATCAACGGTCACTGGTCGTCCGGAAGGCTTGGGTGTTTCGGTATCAAAATTGCCACTTCGGAATTGCATAAACCACTGTTCGGCCGTTTGAATCGAAAGTTTGTTATCTGCTAAGACAGCAATAATCTGTCTGGGAGATTCCGCAGCAGTTTTTTTCTGTGCGAAATAAAATTTCAAAATTTCCCGAATTTCTGCGTTTGTGAACTCCATTTCAATCGATTGTAATTTTTTAACGTGGAAGCTCATGTAAACATGATATGTCATATGTCATTTTAAAGGTGATGCCAATACCTTTCAAACGATATACAGCATTGCCAGATACGATTATATTTGACTTCACAAGCGAAGCGCGAAATTTGAATGTAAAAACCGGTAACATGATGAAAATCTAACTCATGCAATTTTAACTTATGTGTCTTTAAGTAATTTATTTTGTTGGTGTACCTATTGAACTCTAAACCACCTTAGGAATTTCTTTTATCTCACTTATATGTGATAAAGATGTTATCCCTTGATCTTCTAACTGAATACTATGATGAGCAACTAATATATTGTAACGAAACTTAGTTGCCCGTCGAGGAGCGGATACTTTTTAATAGGTAGGGGTCAGCCCACGTTATGCCAACACCATTCAAACAACAGAGCAATAGTTCCTAAGGGTTCTTTTAGGTTTTTATTACCCGCTTAATTACACCAGCTTGCAGCCTGGCAGACAACCGGAGGAAGAGAGAGAACATCGATCAGTGTGATCGATATTCGCCTAAAACTTTTTGACAGGCTTTTTACAGGTCCTTTGGTACTGGTCACCTGGTCAAGTAATTTGAAACCAACTTTCGTTACATTACGCCCCTCTTAGACTTGAGTCTCCTGGCCGAGTAATCGATCGGTAAAACTTGACCAGGCGGTTGACGTGGACGGTCTTGGTAGAACGCTTGCCGGGTAGATGGACCTCGTAAACCAGATCGGAAATGTCGTCGAATCACAGTAGCAGGACCAATCCAGTCAGACTGTAGTTTCGGGCACCGCCCGACCTTTCGAGTGGGAGCGCAGAGCTAAACGTCCTCACTAGCTTCAAATTCGACCGGATGTGATCGGAGATCGTAGCGGGTTTTGTTTACCTTGGCTGCGGCTAGAAGCTGTGTTCGGGCGGCGTGGTGTGTCTTCCGAAGGTTCTCCTCCGCTCTACGTATTTAGGGAAGCTTTGAGAGCAAGGAGACGGGTGCCCGTATATCAGTTCGGCCCAACATTAATAGTTCTGGTGATCGGATTGAGAGTGAAGCGGGGTCGTTCGGGTTTTTTCCACATCAAGAAGGCGCATGCAGGATTGAAATACCGCGGACTGCGGCCCTGATCCGAGTGTAGTACAAATGGCACTCCACAATGGCAAAAAACTTCTTGCACAAGGGCCTTGGCCACGGTTTCAGCCGTCTGATCAGGAAGGGCGATGCATTCGGGCCATTTAGTAAAATAACACATCACCACGGCAATGTACCTGTTGCCAAGCGTTGTTGCCAAGGTAGGCAAAGGCCCCAGAATGTCGATAGCTAGGCGTTCGAAGGGGGTGCCAATGGAGCTTGGTTGCAGCTGGCCAACCGTTCGTCTAGATGGTCCCTTCCTCGCGTTGCTGATTGACCGATCCAGTAGTACCGTTTCTTTACTTTGGCAGTCGTCTTCTTGACTCCAAAGTGGTCTCCAGTAGGCGCATTGTGAGCGTGGCCTAGGGTTTCCTCCCGCAATTATTGCGGTACTAGTGCCATTTCTCACCAGTCTTGATTCGGGTTTTTACCACGACGTCTTCCAAGTGAAGGTTTTCGAATGAATGCCAGTAAGCTTTGATGTCCGGGCTTTCGCCCCAAATCTGAGATTTGAGGGCTCGTTTTCCATTTTCCAACCATGAAGGACCAACGCTAGAGTTGGGTCCTGTCGTTGAAGTTGGGCATAATCGACAGCTTCGATTTGCATGAAAAGAACTCCTGGTCTGTCGAACTGCTCAGCTTTATCGCACACCCTGCATTCACCACAGGGTCGGCGTGAAAGAGCGTCAGCGTTGCCATGATGTTTACCACTTCGGTGTTGAATGTCCATATGGTACTGCTGTAGACGCTCAATCCAGCGAGCTAGTTGGCCTTCCGGTTCCTTAAAGTTGAACAGCCAGCGGAGCGATGCATGGTCCGACCGCAAGACAAACTTTCGTCCGTAAAGAAAATGTTTGGTGGAGAGAACGACGGCTAACAATTCTCTTCTGGTGATGCAATAGTTGCGCTCTGCTACGTTAAATGTTTTGCTGTAGTATTCCAAAACACGCTCCTGACCTTCCTGACATTGGCTGAGTACAGCTCCAGCGCCGTGACTGGATGCGTCAGTGTCGAGAATGAACAGGCCATCGGGATCTGGGAAAGTGAATACGGGCAATGTTGTCAACTTTACCTTAAGCAGGCCAAATGCATCCTGAGCCTCGCTGGACCACATGAAGGGGTGGCGGGCCTCAGTTAACTCATGCAGCGGCCGGGCTATTTTCGCAAAAGCTGAGATGAACTTGCGGTAGTACAAGCACAATCCCAGGAACGATCGTACCTCTTTCTGGTTGCGGGGCGGTGGCCAATCGACTACTTTTTTAATTTTCTCGGGGCATGCCTTTAATCCGTTGAGGCTCACAATGTGACCGAGGTAGTACACTTCGGGGCGGAAGAAAGCTCATTTACGTGGGCTTAACTTAAGGCCGGCGGTTGCCAATCGGTCGAATACTTGGTCTAAATGGACCAGGTGCTCCTTGGCTGTGCGGGAGTGTACGATTATGTCGTCT